ATAACCTTATTTTTACTTCTTTTTGTAAAAGATAATCATATTAATAAAAATAAATATATTTATAAAAATATATATCATATTAATAAAAATATTAATAAAAATTTAGAATAAAATAATTACATAATTATAATTAATAATTTTTCTAATTACGTTTGCCTTTGATAATTTACTATAATTTTGTTTTCTTCTCTGTATTTTTATTTTCTTATATATTTGTAAGTGCCAAAAAGTAATTATTATTCCGTTAATAAAAAATAAAAAATAAGAATAATTTTACTATTCAATATATGAACCATCTTCAGTGTTTGAAATATTCGTTTTTCAATTTCAGATCTCTGATATTTCGACGCGCGAAGTAACCGGAAGGAAGCAACCCATGCAGAACAGAATGACGCGGAAACGTGATCGAGTCGGCCGTTCTCCGGAGCACCTAGTATTTCGTCGATGCCTGCTCGTTTGGATCAGAGTGCTGCTAAGGACCCAGACACGTTCGAGGAAGCTCAACGAGAGAGGGAGAGAGAGACTCACTGAGAAACGGCGTGCCGGAAGTGGCTGCAAAAATCCGATTGCCATTGACGGATTATTGATTATCGGTTCAGCCGAGAAATTTATCGGAATCCCTCCGCTCCTTGCTTCCGCCGTCCGATCTTTCTTACGGCCCTTTCCTCAAGATTTTGATTTACCCTTACGGCGTGACGGCGTGCCGTTGCGGCGATCGGTCTCGCCCCCGCTTGCGACGCGCCTCGAATAAAACGGGACTCGAATTATATACGTCGGAGTCGAACGTGTTATTTCTCGTAAACGCGTTCCCTCCCACTATCGTGCCTGATAGATACACGACCGACTTCTCTTCTCTTTCGTTTTCTCTCTCTTTCTCTTTCTTTCTCTCCCTCTCTGCTTCCCCTCTCTCTCTCTCTCTCTCTCTCGATTTCATACCTAGACGGAGATTCCTCTTATTCCGTATCGCCGTTCTATTTCTCTCTCATTTGCAATTCAGGGAAGCGCAGTTACGCAATGCACGCGCTCGCGATGCGCGCGACGCAATTTCTTCGAACGTTTGTTTCGCGTCGCAGATGGAAAGCTCAGGAGAGAGCATCAACATTTTCATAAAGCTCCCTTTATACCGCTGTCCTGTTTCGCAAACGGAACTAGAGCGAGACGGCCGACGCACGACGCAAACCGCGAGTCGGTGCGCGAGTGGCGCAATATCCTTTCGAGAATCAATTCGATAACAATGTTGCGCGATAAAAACAACGCGCAATTTGTCGAATAAAGGTCACGCACGCGTGAGCACTAGTTCTCGCTGTGTATCCGCGACGTATCGGTTCGGTGATTCGCCTTGAACGTCGACCACGGCGGCGGCGGCGGCGGCGGCGATGCTGACCGATTCGACGCGTTCAAGTGCGCGTCCATTTATTATTGTTACTTACGAAAAACGATACTTCGTTCCACCGACGCACTATTTCACCGAATTTTCATATATATCACTCACGTGCGCGAATCGACCTTAATTCGGCTACGTGCAGCTGGTGATAAACGCGAAATTTTAACGCGACTCCCTCCTCGCGCCGCAATTGCAGAGTGTGTATTTTTATCGAATATGAAAGTTTACAGCGGAATGCATAAATTGAACGTAAACATTGCAATTTCGCAGAAAATGGGAGCGAAAGGAAACAAATTACGCAATAACTGCGCGAAGGGGAACCAGATGACGAGCGCGGTAGACGCGAAGTGAAGACGCAGTTTTGTTCTTATGAAAGAGAGAAGGGATGATTCTCCGCATTTTCCTCCTTTTCCTCTTCCTCTCTCTCTTCCCGAGTCAAAGTTTTGATCTTACTTTTGACTTTGATTAATACCCCATTTAATTCCTACCTAATATATAAACACCAATTATCAGTAAAATAAACTCTGGTATTATGGCCATACCGGAAAGATGGCCATAGGCTGTAATTTCTCTAAT